AAGCATTGCCTGTCTAAATTCGTTTTTTTTTCTCGAAATCAGCTTTCATGGACATTAACCGTTCTTCCTCCTTTAATAAAAGTTAATTGAATGTAGAATTTAGGGACACAAGGTTAAAAAAGGACATCCTGCGCCAAACACACGGATTTAATTCTTCCTCATTGATCTTCATTTAGTTTTGTCCTTATGTATTAGAGATCATGGCATTAAAATGGTTGCTGCGCTTTGAGATCATATAAAGTTTGCTATTGTGGATGCAAAACAAATTTCAACTCAATGTGCAATTTAACAAAAGAAGTTTAGATGAAATAAAGGATGAAATAAATTCAGGAATATATTTTGCTTTGCATGGTTTTATGAGGTATATTAGAAGAAATTATGCTACTGTTCTGCAAAGGGCATTGTAATTAGAGTCAACTAACTTTCATGATGAACGTTCAGAGCTTTCTTTTTAAATAACGAAGTCCATATGCATTTGTCAGATTGTATTTTATGTGATTTTTATGTCAATTAAAAAAAAACATTTAAGAATGATATTTAACAAATCATAAGCAAGCTGTATATTCGTGTGCTGACATCTAAATCTAAGGGTTACTAAGGGCTTATCAATGACTTACAACTCTTACGCACTTCACATGCATATAAAAACTCCAATGTTTCAAACTTCAATAAGTTTCTTATAAATTTTAATTAATATGAAATGCATCCGAAACTAATGAGTCAATTTTTTTTAAATTTAAAACTGATCGTGCCATATAAATACAAAAGATTGCCTGTAAGGGCGCAGCACAAAGAATTTTTGATGAATGAATCAATCCATAAACTTTATCAGTGGTCCTAAAACGACACTCAATTATAAAAAATTCATTCATTTTTTCAATATTTATTGCATCGGTATAAGGAATTAAACTTGGGTTGAAGTAACCTAACATAAACGCAGTTTGAACCCAACAATATTTATATGTAAACTACAATATTTATATTTATGTTCCTGTAGTAATTGTAGTAGCCATTACAATTGCTACAGGAAGGAATGCTAGAACTAAAATGATATTTATTAAGACAGGCATTGTGGCATGACTCAAGTGATTAAATTTAAGGGCACTTTATGGCGTATAGATCCTGACATGGCAGTAGCCGACAATAAATTTTTTTCCGTCTGAAAAGGAGCTAAATAAAAATAGTATAGCGTTTTAGAGAGTTCCAGTCAATACAACTTCATCCCAATGTACCAATAGTGATTATTAATTGCTAGTGTGACTGAATCTTTTTAATTGTTCAGAGATCAAAAAAGCGTATTGAGAGGGGAAATAGTCAGACTTGTTCAATATCAAAGGTAAGGACAGTTTGGAAAACATATGGCCGTATATTGCCTGGTGAAAAATATTGTTTCAGAGGTCCCGAAGATAAGGAAAAGTAAAAAATTTTAATATTTTTACTATTGATTTTGTTAAGAGTGATGCAAACAAACGTGATCAAGACATTTTTCCAAGGTACCCCATTGTAAAAATTATGCGTCGTTAATTTTTCAACAAATGGGACATTCCCCCCTCACGCACTCATGATTTTTTAAATAACGAGCTTCCTCGTCGTTGGAATGGTTGCGGATCAGACGACGACAATCATTTCATTTCATAGACATCCCCCTCTTTAGACTTTACTCTCTGTGAATTTTTTATGGAGTTACATAAGAGATTAGTGTTCACGTCCCCTATGCTACGTGATTCAGCAGAATTACAATGAAGGATCAAAACCATATTCGCTAAAATTTATTGTGGCATGTTACAGCGAGTGTGGAGAGAATCCGACTTCAGACTTCGACTTCAGAAGTTAAAGCCGCATCACCAAAGGCTCCCACATTGAAAGTTTATGACAAAAAAAAATTGCGATGTTACTTTATCAGATAAAGTGAAATTTGTTGACTTAATGGCAATATTTTGTTTGTCTTCGAAGCCCTAGAGAGAATTGTGACGCATCCTGTATGAAAGACAGCTCTCACTACATGCAAAAAGTTTGCAGATGCGATTCGGACATGCGAACACCATCGGGATTTAGAAAAGTTTTAGCGAGTAAGTATATTTTATTATTCAGGTTCTCATTCGCATCTCAAAATTCACTTGTGCTATTTTTTCGCAGTAAGTGCGAATTGTTTTAAAGATAACGTACTGGCATTCCTAAGTCCAGGTTGATCACTTATCACACCATTGATTACACTCCAGCAATGCAGTTCCAAGGTAACAGCAAGAAGCATGATCACCACGTCGATAGTCCCTACAGCAGTTTAAGTTGTCGAACTGTTATCAACGAAACTTCTTATTTTGAAAATGACACCATTTTTTCCATGACGTGGCTGTGCAGCACCTTGTGGAACTTTACTGTAAGTGTTAACTACTGTCGACTGTGGCATTCGATTGTTAGCAGTAAAGGGTAGCTGAAATCCAAAGCGGCGTCTCATGAGACCACCCTGAACCAATGAATTCCGTATCCTTTGAACAGTTTTTGAATCTCGGCCCACGCGAGCTACAATATTTCGGCATAACTAACAATTCTTCTAGATCAAAGTCAGGCATGAATAAATATAGGCATTTTTGCTTTTTTCATTATGTTTTGCAATAACTTTTTCAGTTGAAAATGCAAGTTTCTGTCAAACTTCTGATTTTATATAAATTGTATGTTATAGCAGTATGTTCCATAAATAAGCTGAAAATCTTATCATTTACATATTCTGCAATATGCTTTACTGTTTGTTATACAAAGTTCACGTATTTGGATTGCCGCCTCCCAGATGTAACAGTTTTAATGATCAGTAGTTACTCATTAAATAAAAAAAATCATATAATAGCTGTCTCCATTTGAAAACATAAATGTTTTAGTAGAAGAAAAATTAGATATAAGGACCAGCATATATATTTAATATTCAAAAGAAATTCAGTCAAAGTCTTGAAGAAAAAAAAGAGTTCTGAAGAACTGAGTTACTTATCCTGATTTACAGTAGGTAAAATCTGCATTTTATTCTTGTTAACTTTAGTATGTATGTAAACATTCACCGTTATATTAACAATACTTCACTCGAAATTGTATTTTTAAACTATTGTATATGGTTGATACTTTAATAAGAATAAAAACTGAACCTGATTAGAAATTTTCAAGCTCTCTCGAAAATCTTTATATATTTATTCAACTAAAACCAGAATTAGCTCCTTTATTTTTTTATTAAAAATAGTTCCCTAACAGTTCTTGTAGACATTTCATCGCCAAACAAAGAATCAGCATCCAGATTGAAATAAACGAACAAGTTTTTCAGAAAGTATTAAAGTAATTTTATTTTCTATAGAACTATTTTTATAAAAAAAAAAACAGACCGAAGAAAATAATTCTTACACAAATAGATTGAGCTCTTTTTCCTCCCACGCTTTCATTGTGTACCGATAGAATTGGTAAATCGGTAAAGAGCGGGTTTAAAAGGCGGACGATATTTCTTTCGTCTTCTTCAACAGTTATGCAAATACCTCGTTCTATTAGTAGGCGAAATCTTTTGGCAGCATTAATGGGAGGGATTAAAGAAAACGGGGCATTTTGCTCATGTTACTGGTTTTAAGGATTAAATCGAGGACAGGGAATATTGTGTGAATTAGGGAAAAATCGTGAGAGATACACAATAAAGAAGATGATTAAGAAAATCCTTTGTAAGCCCATCTTCTTTTGTCATGGTGTATTTTGTTAGCACTTTGGATCGCAGGGAAGGGAAATTCTTATCGCAACTGTGTGGGAATACTGGCATTTGTTGACTAAACGAAGGGGAAAAAAAGCTTTTTCGTCTGAAAGAATAGATTTTGTTATTCGGTTGAATTTATTTAAGTTAAAACTGAATGGTTAAAATAGTTAAGTAAAATATAATGCAAAATTTAATTATGTTAGAAAAGAATTTTGAAGCGAATTGAATTTATTAGAATTTTTGATTTTTTATCTAATTTAATTACTTTTTCTTTGCTTTTAAAGTATAAATGTAAAGATATATTAAAGCATAACGTATAGATAAATTATTTATTCCAGTTAGTTCATTTTTATACACTGTTGAGTTAAATTAATTTTTTTATTCTTTTACTCTTTTTATGTGACTGATCATTTGAATGGTATGGTAAGAATTAAAGATGATTTAGAATTCCCTCTTGGAAATATAAATTGGCCCCCACTTTCATTTCGAGTTCACTAGATATTGCCATGTTGCTTTTGAGCCTAAAAAAAGCCTGTCTTCAAACCAAAATTTGTCAAAAAAAATTTTTTACATAAAAATTACAAATAAGGCTAAGACTTGTAGAGTTAAAAGATACAAGATACGTTGTTTAATATTACCTATATTTGGAAAGCTGTTAGAATACTAATAAAAACAGAGCACTCAATTTAGTTTATCGATTACGATCAGTGTTTGAAATTAGACATTCTAGAAACCTAGTTATTTTATGGAATGCATAAAATGAAAACACAAAGTTGAAAATGAGCTGCATTTAAATATGTCTGCGAAATTGTGTACCGAGCAGTTCAGGATTAACAGTTAAAGATGTCCAAGATGATAACACAGTAAAGTTTCTTTTCCAAAAAAATTAGACAACAACCATTTTGCCAATGGGTAACCAGCGGTAATCACAATTTTCTTCGTTTTGTAGTGATTCGTACTTATTTATTATTTTATTTTGATGGAATGAACTTTTAAAAGCGTATTTTGCTCAATCTAATAAAGTAAAGCTATTGATTATTTACTTTTTCCCCGCATAATATTATGGTATCAGTACCGGTATTTAGTCAATATATTTAATACTTCACCTAATGAGCATCTGCCATATTATATGACGCTTAGGAAATTTGTATAGTGACTAGGTAAAAATTTAATACTTTTCTTAATTTTTATAGGCATTCAATGGAACCCCGGATTTTTATAGATCATTTATTACACATATATAAGAAGAAAAAGATAAACATAACTATTAAGTGGCAGAATACTTTATTGCAGAGCAACGCGTTATTGAAATATTAAACTACAAAATCAGCCATAGTTGGTTGTCTGAAGTCTGATAGTGAACATTTCTTTTATATTATACCATTTTTCCGCATTTTAAATTGTAGTAGCTAGAACCTGGAGGAGTCACTCGATAGTCGACAAAATTTCTACCACATCCGCATGTCGCATTGTTACCAAAAGCTCGGCTTTCACCTTTACAATCTGGCATTCCTGAAAAACCATGGTTGCATGGCTTACATTCGCTTACAATGTGAGGATGGTTAGAATATTTGGCAATGGTGTGCAACATTGATTCAGGTATTTGTGAGTGCACTTTAGGTAACTCTAGAGAACCATCAGGCAAATATTGGGATGAATGCACCACGTAAAACGTATTTACTGAAAAATAGAATTATTTTAAATGGAACATAAAACCAGCATACAAATAAATTATTAACTTATATTCTAATGGATTTGTATCGATGGTTGTCCGTTCCAAGCTAAGCACAGATGGCACTAGAGGTTAAAACTAGCACTAGAGGCACTTGGGCACTAGAGGTAAGACTTCCGGGTTACTACTTCAAATTGATTTTTTCACCTAAAATTAGAAAAGCGCGCCATTCAATATTATTATACTTGTAGCATTCACATTATTACGTGTTCTTTCTATTTAACTTTCAACGAAACAACTAACAAATTAATTTGGAATATGCCACAATCATGCCACCCAAAAAAATAACAACTGGCGATATTTTACTACTTTTCTCAATTATAGCCTAATAAGGGATAACATTTAAAACGTGGCAAACCCTTCACTTTATTTATGTAGCAATTTCAATTTTCTTAAATTTGTTTTATGCTCGCAATGTTAAACTTTATAAATCCCATAAAACTCTTTTGAATGTTAACATTTCGCCTAAATTTGAATAAAAATCTTTATAAATTCCTAGAATATTAGGCCTCCTAATACATCGTCTCGTAATCATAACGTAAGCAGAGGAATACATCGGGTTTTTTGTTTTGGATTTGAAGCTTGTTACTGTCTGCATTCAGTCAACCATTCATAAACAGTTTTTTGGTAAAATTTATTCACGATCTTGGATACTAGAATGATGGGAGGCACTTATTCATGTTGTGAATTCAGGGACTTTAAAACAAAATATCGATTCGAGGATTAATTTTTAATAAGCGTAAAGTACCTAAGAAGTCACTTCTTCTTCTTCTTAGACAATGTAAAAAATGGATACTCATACGAAACTTCCTTCATTTTTGACGAAACCGTTTCTTGATATATGCTCCAAAGCGAGAATTTCGTCAAATTGATTCTCTTCATTCCTTCAAGGAAGCTAATTTCGCCAAAGTCAATAAAAAAATTTCACACTTCGTTATTCTAATTTCGTCAAACTATGAATTATTGTCGGAAATTTGACGAAGTGAGATATCGATGAGTTTTCCGAGTTCAGAAAACATTTTCCTCCTACATTCGAGAAATCTTGTTTCCTCACAAAACACGTAATTTTGCGACGAAATGATTCTCATTGTTAACGAAATACAGTTTAAAGAGCTTCCAAATTGTCAAAGGTAGAAAGTTTTATTTCTGATAGTGTAGGCATTAATTTTTTTTAAAAAATAAAAACAGTTCCTAGAACAATTTTATGATGCTTGGCTTGAATGTGATGACACTTTGTAATCGGGGATCCTATTTTGATAAGCACGAAGTATTTAAGTAAAAGAAAAATTATATTATATAATGAATTGGTAATATAATAGCAAAAAATATAATAAAAATTAACGAATAATTTAGTGGGGGAAAATGCCCAATATATTTGAGCGAGTAAAATAGTTTCAAGTAAGGAATTTCATCAAAGGAATTCATGTAACCGTCGTCTATCGAGAAGGAGAATTTTTGAGAGAAAATATATTTCAACAATCAGGTTCTCATTCTCCCTTGATGGCGATCTAAAGTGCGTGAATTACATGCAGTGAGGATGGCCCTTATAAGTTGATGTTTGCTATCCTAAAACTTTCATGTATCGAAAACGGGATTTCCTGCACATTCCTTATTATTTAATTATTTTTTCATTCGTTAAGTCAGATAAACTCAAATATTAACATGGACGTAATGGGACTTCGTCACCTGATTAGTATTTCATAAGTTTTCATAGTTATGCTTTTAAAACGCGCCTCGATGAAACTAAATAAATTAAAATTAACGATAAACTTGTTTTAAAAAAAAACGTTATGCTCCGAAAATTAAAATTATTGGGAAATGTCCTCTAAAAAATGTTCATTTTCCGGTAAATTCCCTGGATCTTACTTAAGTTAGGGAATTACGACATCAACTTCAAAATTGTCTGAAACGTAGGCTGAGCAAAAAAAGCAGTGTTAGTTACTATATTTAGCAGTTTCTCGAATAATCCTATTTGGAAAATTTTCGATTGCATTTGGGTTGATAATATTTATTATGTTGATAATATCTTGTATTTAACTTTATTGTTATTTACTGATGACAATTTAGCAGAAATATTTATAATTAGATGAAATTATTCGCAACAATGAACTTGAATATTGTATTTACTGTTACTACTGTGCAGTCTGTATTTCTGCATAGAAATAAATAAAAGACATTGTATTTTGAAATTTGAACTTGCTAATTGACAATCAAACATTAAATTAAAAGTTTTTAATTTTTTTACTCTAAGTTAAGTTTTAAAAAAATTTAAAAAGAGATACTTCTCTAGTAAATGTTTGAAGTAGCGGAAATAAATTTATTTTAGATTTTGTAATCCCATAACCAACTAACACAAGCCAAATATTGAGTTCTTACAGTTGACTTACGTTACTTCATATTGAAGGGTACTTTCAGCCACAATGTAAACAATTCCAGATTAAATAACGGTAAAAAATACCGGCACACGAGGTGCGAAACTTTTTACCGTAAAATCCATTTTTACTGGAACATGTTACGAAACCAAAATCTGATATACAGTAATTTTTACAGTAATAATTACTCTAAAATCGCTAATTGACTTTAATTAAATTAGTAGTACTGTAATATTTACAGTGTAGTATTTTACGGTAAAAATGGATTTTTTGGTGAAAGTGGATTTTATGGTAAAACGGATTTTGAAGGATGATGAACAAAGAGCCAGTACTTTATACCGTAATTTGATCTGGAATTTTTTAAAGTGCATTATTTTTCATTTTTTTTTAAATCTTTAGCAAGCATGTTTTTTAAAACATCCAGACATTTAATCAAGTGTAAATGTATACCCATTTTTTAGATCAATAAATTAGTCTCAAAAATAAATGGATGAAGTGGAAAATGTCTTAAATTGAAAAGTGGCATCAAGCACTAAAATGAAAATAAAATAATTTCTAAGCTAATAACGGGCTCTTGAAACAAGCTTCCAAAGAATCATTTCGTACGAAGGTAACGTGCTTGTACAAACTATTTAAACATGCTCACAATCTAAAACTTAATATAAAGGGTAGTGAAATGTTTGATAGAATGTATTATATATTAACGTTATACTGATTATTACTCTTAGTGATGAAAGGCTAGGTTAAAAGAACGCATAAAGTTTATAATATAAGTCAGTTTATTCTTTAAATTATTCATATAATTAAGATTTACTGATACAAATACTCGCGTCTCCAAATATTCATTACTGTCCAACGTAATTTCCATATGAATCGTTAAAAACTTCGTACGAAGTTCCATTTTAAAGCGTGTGTATTACTCAGAACTTTGTAAAACGCTTGAATATTTAAGCATGTGAAAACTGGAGTTAATATTTACTTTAATATCATTTCATTTGTACATTCAGATAATTTGTTGTAGAAGCTTCGACATGCATAAAATTTTATTTCTCTTAAATATTTTATTTAATTCGAACATACAATTTATTTGATTTTGATTTACAAAATAGCAAACATGTACATTTTTTGTTTAATCAAATAAAAATTTTCAATTGAAGAATTACAGAATAAAATCATATGTTATATAATCTAAATATCTATTCTCTTTAANGTACTTTATACCGTAATTTGATCTGGAATTTTTTACAGTTCACTATGTTTCATTTTCTTTTATCTTTAACATACAAGCTTTTTAAAACTTTCATACATTTAAGCAAGTGTAAATATATACCCATTTTTTAGATCAATAAACTAGTCTCAAAAGTAAATGGATGAATTGGAAAATGTCTTAAATTGAAAAATGGTATCAAGCACTAAAATAAAAATAAAATAATTTCTAAGCTAATAACGGACTCTTAAAACAAGCTACTAAAGAATCATTTCGTACGAAGGTAACGCGTTTGTACAACCTATCTAAACTTGCTTACAATCTAGAACTTTATATAAAGAGTAGTGAAATGCTTGATAAAATATATTATATATTAACGTTATACTGATTATTATTCTTAGTCATGAAAGGTTAGGTTAAAGGAACGCATAAAGTTTATAATATAAATCAGTTTATTCTTTAAATTATTCATATAATTAAGATTTACTGATACAAATACTCGCGTCTCCAAATACTCATTACTGTCCAACGTAATTTCCATATGAATCGTTAAAAACTTCGTACGAAGTTCCATTTTAAAGCGTGTGTATTACTCAGAACTTTGTAAAACGCTTGAATATTTAAGCATGTGAAAACTGGAGTTAATATTTACTTTAATATCATTTCATTTGTACATTCAGATAATTTGTTGTAGAAAATGCTTCGACATGCATAAAATTTTATTTCTCTTAAATATTTTATTTAATTCGAACAGACAATTTATTTGATTTTGATTTATAAAATAGCAAACATGTACATTTTTTGTTTAATCAAATAAAAATTTTCAATTGAAGAATTACAGAATAAAATCATATGTTATATAATCTAAATATCTATTCTCTTTAAAATATAGAATTTTTTGTTAGAAATATTTATTTTAAGAGACATGAGTTAGTAGGAAGAATAAAGTTCCAACAATTTCTATGACTTTTAAGCGTATAAAACTTCATTAGGTTTCTTTTTTTGTAGGCCATATTAGATGTGCTTTTTGTGTACCACATATAATTTTTTGTTATACTATGCATTTCTTTGTTCATTATTTTTTATGCACCATCTATGTTTACATTCCCGGGTACATTTTTTGGCCTTAAATATTCCATGTGTGTTCGACATTTCAAACTTAATCTTGTGAAAGTATCGCAATTTTGCAGTCTCTTAGATAGAATTGGTACAATCTAATGAAGTTTTGCATAGAATTTAAAGTATTTCATGAGATGCAGAGCAGGAAAAATAAACTATCATCTGTAACTGATTCGATGCGAAACAATTTAAAACCTATGCGTGATGCAGAATATGAAAAAGAAGCTGCAATGTTGATTATCTACTGAGA